CCTATTCAACCCAAAAACAAGACCCAAATTAACGTTTGTCCCGCTTTGGTTGGCACAACACATGTAGGATTATCATCAAAATGAGAAGCTTTGCACAGGAGCAAATGAGTGAAAGGGTTTAATCACAGCTGACAAAGCTAATGAACGCTGCCAAGGCCATGCGACGGTTCAACAAAGACACAAAGGTACACACACAAAGTAACGGGCCCACAACCAAGCCTTACTAACCCCACCCTCTGCACCTTGGCTCTGTCTTTTTATGTTATTGTTTTTCTCCCTCAGTTTCTTTGTCGTCTCCCCCCATCTGGTGTGTGCGGCCACGGCCACACGGAGCTAATTCACTTCCTTGGACACCATCTGCTGCGAGACTTTCTACAGTAAACTGAGCCTGGCGGGCCGTCTCCGGCAGGGACGGAGGTGCGTTGTCACCTGTTCAGCGTGCCGCCTTCTGCCCAGCGGAATCGTTTTTCACTGGACGCTCCGTGCCTCGACACGGAGGGWGTGACCAAAAGGGGCGTTTGTCAAGCATTAGTGCTTCGCTCATCTGATTTTTCCRTCCTTAATGACTGCCTTATGTCCGCTTCACAAAATCATCTGCATCTGCTCMGTCGGAGGGTTAAAATGCTTGGACTCTGATATTAGGAGGTAATCTTTGCAAAAACCAGCCGTAAACGCAACAAAACTATGTCATATTTGACAAATGTGCAATTCATCCCTCTTTGCCTGCTAGCATTATCATAGGGCAGTTACATAAAATTATGAGATTCACTTCAGAACCAGTAATTACTCAAAGTTATTAAMCCCTGTGGTGCTTATAGCTCTGTAGTTTGGAATTAGAAATGTTTATTATTTTAAGTCTAACATATGTGGGTTTGGATTTTCAGTGTAGAAAAGGTTTGCCTGTGCAACATATGTGACAACTGTAGACTAGTTTCTGTCTAAAACTTGTTTGATTTATGTTTTTTTTCATTGACTGACTTGCTTTTTTGAGTATTCAATAAGAAACTGAACTRATACTATTGTTAACATAACTGGTTGTAGTTAGTTTATTGCAGTTATATTCAAAACTTGATTGTCAGTGCCTGCCACTAAAAGTGAAAGGACGTCTACAGCAGGTTTTATGCTCATGGTTTTTTTTTCTTTTTTTCTGCACCATTTACAAAATATCTCATGGACCAGTGGACAGACTTTAATGAAACKCCCAGAAAATAATCATTAAATGTACATTTACAACTGTCAACCCAAATCAAGATGACCACAACATCCAACTGACCTTTAAAAACACAACCATTAATKGAACTAAAGGTTAGTAAAGTAGCAGCCAAGCATCATCCCCAGTAGTGCTGCAYATATCATATGTTTGCTTACAAAAATGAACAAAAGAAAACAACTAATTTGCAGGTTAACTGAGTTATCACKCAGCACAATAAAGAACTTAACCAATACTTGACCACAGTTTATAATGCTCTGTCTAGGACCAAAAAGGTCTACAGTGAAACTGAGACAAAGCTCACTAACTATTTCCTGTAAATTTAATTATGCATCAGATTTCTAATCAGCTACCATAATTTCCAGAGACTTCATTAATGAGCATGTCAGCGTCTCAAGGGAGATAATAATAGCAGAACGGCACACTTCGACCAACATGCTCAGCAGGTGATTTTCACACATCACGAGGCCAAGAGACTTTAATTTAATTATTTATAAGTGCAAGCTAATTAGAGTATATTGTTTTCTTAAAAGCTGCTAGTCTTGGCAAAGAAATACAGTTGAATGATTCTGATCCTAATGCAAATTCAAACCTAAAACTTTAGTCTTTGAATTGTGACCGGGTTTGAAAACCTTTGAAAGACAATCTCCTGATCAGTAAAGCGGAGCAGACTCTGGACTGATCCTAATGGATGTGTTCCAGCGTGTGTGCTGGGTTGTGGAAACAAACGGCCCGTCTCTGCGCAGTTTCCTCTCGCAGTTCCAACCAGATCCATTTCTTTTCCCCCTCTTTCTACCTTCTCAACCTCTCAGCCCTCCACTTCTCAGCAGAGTTGAATTTCTCCAAAACGCAGTCTGGGTTTTGGCCATCTGTTCTTTGTGCTTTGACCCTTTTCCGTGGCTCAGGAAGTGAAGAATCTAAGCCTTGGTGGGGTCTTGGGTAAAAACTGCATTGCTGCCCTGTTGGCTGACCTACTGACTGTTGTCACGACAGCTGGGCGAGGAAAACAGAGTCATTCCCCTGCGAAAGGATTGGTAAAAAGACAGGGACAGACAAAGCACGGGATTGTAAGTTGTGCTGATTTAGTGCGCAGAAAGAAATGAGAGTGACACGTGTATGTGTGCGGAGTAGCAGCTGGAGTCTTGCAGCTGTTGACATGAGACATAAGAAGCTTGTGTGTCTGCAGGCACGACCCAGTGGCAGCATTCCTTCTCATTGCGAAGGCAAAAATCATCTCTCTGGTGAACATCTTCCATCGACTACCTCTGCTACATCTTCCTCCTTCTCTCCCGCCTGCTGATACTCATCCAGCTCTTGTCCAGCCAGCCTGTCAATGAACTGCACTTTATTTTCTTTAGTAACTTTTAACAGGGCCAGCAGAAAGCAATTTCTGACATTGCTSTCCTGTTTGGCTCTGTCTTAGGCCTTGGCTTGGTTTCAGTAAGAGATTCTGAACAACTTAGTCAAGTTAAATATGCAGAAAAATGGGTGTTGCATTGRTGTCACACACTTACTTTACACAGTAATAAAGAAAAAAGTCCAACATTTTGACCTGACTACAAATGTAGAAAACTACATGTGGTTGAGTTGTAACTCGTTCACTTGAACAATCAAATTCAGTGCTCATTTAGTCCAATCAATTCTTCTGTGGAATCAATTTACAACTCACTAAAACTCATCCGTGCCAGGGATGAAAGCACACGGCTGCTTCTTGCGTGATATGTGGACTGACTTGTCTGCCATACGCTGGCTGGGCCGAGCTCGTCTCGGAGTGTGCGTCACGTCCGAGTTCCTCCGGGGACTTGAGGTGAGGTTTGATGGCCCGAGTGTTGATATGATCTGGTGTGGTGAGTTAGAAGTCAGAGGGGAGCTAAAGCAGAGGGATGGTCTTCATCTGTCAACTTGGCCCACTCTAAAGTGGCCATCAGTCAGGATTGATTAGCCAAGAGCCCATTAGCCCGCTGGCTCTTTCCTCTCTTTCTACTTTTTTTTTTCTTTTTATTTGGGCTCTCTTTTTCCTCCAAATCATCCGTCTTTCTCTGTTTCACTGAAATGTACTGTTTTATTTTAGGAATGTTAATTTTATTAACTGCTTCTTGAATTTTCTGGATTCTTTATTATGTTACACTTTTTAGATTTTGTATATAAGATAACATCCTAACTTTTCCCCCCTTCTGTTTTAATAGTTTATCTCACCGCCACTTGTTTAATTTTCCCTTTTGGACTTGGAGCATTTTAACCCTTCATATYATCTCTCATCAGCCGTCAGAGTGGTGAAAACCGGATTGGGTGCGGGAACACCCATGACAGTCTAAAACCATGCTGTCATGATTTGCTAGCATGGAGAGACCATCACTCTCTGCATCCATTTAGGCCAGGGTCCTCTGAGAGCTGRAGGGATGTGGAGTGGGATCTGAGTAGCTGAAGGGACAGAGGATGTTCATGTTTGCTATTTTTGGCTTTGGTAACTTTGGGAATGCAGGCTTTTTATAAGTAGCATGTGCACACAGAGCTCAAATTTGTACTAAACAATGTAAATATTTACAACAAAACCAATTTTTTGCACTTTTCTTTGACTGAAAAAGAAGAAACATGGAGAATTATAAGTGAATTCATGGTAACTGTTGTTTGAGTTGGGGTTTTAAATTTTGTTTTTAGTTCGTTTTTAAGTTGTTTTGATTTTTGTTGTATTTTACTTTTCTTTTGATCATATTTTGGGTATAAAAATTTATTCTTCTTCTGCCTTTCATTTTATTTGGTTTTATTTTGATTTCATGTTTTTTGAACTTTATTAATTTGTGTTACAAATGAAATGCATAAAGAACTACTACTAAATAATATGACTGTAAAAATGAGAATAAAACTAATTGTGATTTTATTGCAGTGACTTCTTCTGCATATTATCCTGTTGCCTTTTATACAAGTGTTATTTATGGTTTTACACATTTTTTTCTACCTAATTTTTTAGAAAATACACTGACTGTGCAGCAAAGAAGTGATGATGTGTTATGATTTTCGGGCAGGAATGAACCCATGATGCAGGCAGTTTCCAAAGAACCAAAAATCAAAATTTATTTAAACAAAAAGTGCACAAGGGCAGCTCAAAAAAACTCACAAGGCTTGGTAGGGCAGGACAATACAGAACAATGACCCGACAGGGAAGTGAAGACAAGACACAGAATATAAAGGTGAGACTAAYGAGCACAAACAGGAAACACCTGGGAGAGAAACATGAGGAGCAGGTGAGAGTGGGCGGGGCTGGAGCAAAGGCAAACAGGAGGAAGAAAACAGATGACAAGACAGACACTAAAATAAAACATTAACACAGACACAAATCATAACATGATGTTTCTCTTTTATGTGTATAAACAAATTTTGTGGTGTTTAATTGATCCTTGGGGATGAGTAAAATGCTTTGAACTGAACTGAATAAATTGAATTGGTGCTGCTTTCTCTGGCTCTACCTGTGTGAGTGAGTACAGCTAATCGTTTCCCTTCATTAATGAACTCATGTCAACATCAGAGGTGAGTGAAAACCTCAAGAATGTCAGAGGAAAGGCTGGATGTGCTTAGAGAAGGAGTATCCGTGCAGCTCTAAAGTGACGATGTGGCAATCACGAGCAGGGTGACGACAGGAGGAGTGCTCTCTGATAAGCCAGCAGGGTGCTGATTGAGTACTAAACCTGAACGTTCTCRGCGTCTTCCAGAGTTGCTGACAACAACCTTCTGCTTGGGAAGAGGCTCTTAAAAGCTGGCCTCACACAAACACGAGCACGGTGCCAACACTTACACGCTGCTTCTTCTTTGTGGTGGACTTCCATCGGGATCGGGTGGAGGTGCCTGTGGCATGCACTTAGACACGAGTGCACATTTGAGAAACCGATGTTTCCAGTGGAGACCACATGGCGTTGTCGGTCGTCGCTGCGAGCAGAACCCWCTTCATTCATTAAAGTCACCATAGTGTTTAGTATACAGAGGACTCTGTAGGGGATGGGGCAGACAGCTGTTTATGCATTTCAAACACCACTTGAGTGCACAGTTGTTTCATGATCATACAACTAATACTATATGTAACATAAAGAAATACCAGCAGGATACACCAGGGAACATGTTCCTAAGTCTGTAGGGACATATTTTCTGACATACACACTTGTTACATTTACTGTTACACTTTGTTCACTTACACAACCGTGGATTGAAGATGTAATTACATCACTAAGAAACCTGTTCTATAGGAATGGCTTGAAATGTTTACACTGAAATTAAATATCTTAGTCTTGGAGTTAGAGAACATCATYATCTTGGTTTTGTCTGCATTTAAAACAAATTTTAGGCTTTTTAATAACAATGTTGAAGGTTGATTGTAGATAACTGAGTGCTTTGGTTGGCGTTGAAGTGGCACAATAAATGACGGTGTCATAAAAATAAAAATAGAATGTTGCATGTGGCACAGTATTATCTAAACAGCTAATGTAAATAAAACAAAGTAGTGGACCCAAAACAGATCCTTGAGGGACCCCTTTAGTTATTATTTTAGTTGGGAAGAGGTTACACCTTGAGCTTGAACAGACTGAGATCTGATTACCAATAAACTGATTGTTTTAAAGCCTTTGCATCATGATATTATTACCAATAAGATCAAAAGCTTTTGACAGGTCCATGAAAAGTGCTGCAAAATGTTGTCTGTCATCTAAAGAGCCAATAACATCAAGAACTGTTGCAACTCATCTGCATTTAACTGTGTTAAATGCAGATGAGTTGAAGGTGAGGCTGATTTCTAATGGGAGATTTGAACATAAGGATCATGTTCAAGAACATAAGGTTTATGGGAATATTTTATACATGCATGCTTCTCTTAAATGTCTTTATTTTCTGGATGCTGTTTATCATGGAGCTGTAAGACATCATTGCACACAATATATTCAGGTTGGTTGGATGGCCTTGGCCACGTGTAGACTCTGTATTGGGCATATTTTTTATTTATAAGGCCATACTAGGACTTCTTCCATCATATTTGTTGGCCTACATAAGCAGAACGTCTACAGGAGGGTATTGCCTTCGTTGCGAGAATTCCTTTTTACCTTACAGTAGGTGCCTAAAGTCCGAAATGAACTGAAAAGAAATCGTTTTCTGCTCCATCTTCTCGGAACCAGTTGCAGAGATGAACCTAAAGGTGCTGTTGWYTCTAAATGTTTTTAAGGCTGTTCTTACTGATTTTGGAGGAATCATCTGTCTGTAAATGTTTTAACTGAGGAATTTTATACTTGATCTTTATGTGACAGTGAAGACTTTTTCTGTTTTTGCTGTGAATGTTCTGTAACCTCTGTGTACCGCTGCCAGTCTTGGACAGGATTCCCTTGCAAAAGAGATTCTGAAGGTCACTGGGATTTTCCTGGTGAAATAAAGATTTAATAATAATACTAGCAACTATTTTTAAGGCTGCTGTTGTATTGGTATGCATTTTCCTAAAATCAAATTGAAGGTTAGACAAAAAGTTATTTTCTGTTAAAAAATCATTCAGTTGTTCACACAACAAGGTGTCAAGAACCTTTGGCCAAYGCAGACAGTTTAGAAATAGGCCTATTATAGTTCATTTCTGTCGAGTCACCTCCTTTGAACAAGGGGAGCACCTCTGCAGATTTCCATTCTAAAGGAATTTTACCAATGTCCAGGGAGAGGTTAAAAAGAGGTTAGAGGTGGTCCAACTTTAAAAAATATGGTTCCAAATGGTCAGGACCTGCTGATTTATTGGGATCTAACATTTTAATGGCACTTTGCACTGCTGATAATGTTACATGAATAAAATCAAAGCGGTGTGCTACCATCACCTGAGTCTGGACAATTAAAGGTGGCGATTTGTGAAACACTAGGAGAGTTAGAAATGGAACCCAGCCCAACTTTTAACAATGTTTACTTATGGTACAATGGACATTCAAAACAGTTTTTGTCTTCATTTAATGCCTTGATAATWTTTCAGAGCTTCTGAGGGTTGTTGAGATTATTTAATGTCTCTGTTTAAAAAAATTGTTGGCGTTTGCGTTTCTGACGGCAGCTCTCGTAACATTTCAAAGTTTTCTGAAAGTGAGCCAGTCAGAATCTGAATCAGTTTTTTTGTGCTTTGGCCCATGCCTGATTGCGCTCTCTGAGTAATTCTGACAGATTAGGAGTGAACCATGAATCTTTACAACYATTTCCTCTGAATTTCCTAAATGGAGCATGCCTGTCTGCCCCATCATAAAAAAGTTTCGTGCTGATTCCACATCAACACGAAACTGTTCGGATTCTCATCCAGTTAAAATGATAAAAATCATGAAGAAAAGCTTGTTCTGAAAAATGTTTTACATCTTGTTTAATTATAATTAATGGCTTCGCTTCAGCCATCATTGTGTTTATAAATGTAACAATCCGTGCACTGAGCCTGAGTGTATTTATGGGGGGCATTTGTCAATATAAGATCAATCAGAAAAGCTTTCTCAGGGTGTTTTGGATTGGGTCTAGTGGTGCTGTCAACAATTTGAAAAAGATTTAATAAGTCAGTAATTTTCAAGTATTTTAGCCTGAAACTTGTTTTTTTTTTTCTGTACACATAACAACACCTCCACTTTTTTTGGATATCTGCCCTAAAAGCAGTATAACCATTAACCTCTTCTCGTTTTAGTTATTTTATGATAAGCTTTATAATTGCCTAAATTTGTGTTACACACGCAGGCATTCTTACTTTTATTTAAACTTTGTTTCAAACTTTAAATTTTTATTTATGTATTGGATCGAAGATGCTTGGCGCTTGAAGGGACAAACAGCTACACCCCCTGATTGTCACCTCTGTCCCCCTCTCTGTTTTTATATGCTCCTGAATCAGATGTGGGCTACTCTGGTCCTCAAGGGCCGCAGTCTTTTGTGTTTTACTTGTTTTTCTGCTCCAACGCACCTGATTCATTTACTGAATTACCTTTTCAAGTTCTGCCGATGCTAATTAATCCCCCATTCATTCGAAAAACAATGAGTTGGAGCAGAAAAAAACAAGTGAAACATGCAGGATGATGACCCTTGGGGAATAGGTTTGCCCATCCATGTCTTGGGCTATATCCTCACACGTGATTGGTCACAAGGCCTGCATGGGAAACACAATATAACTGACAATGTGAACACTTCGACACAATATTTAATTCTTTATATACTGAACTTTGTAGTGAACAAGTGTACAATCTCACTGTGTTGATGCTCAAGTTTAAGTCCAGGAGATCAGAAAAGGTGTAGTAGGTGTGGTCCTTTTTCCTGGCAGAGATTAGTGCGTGTAGGGATTAAACATCCATGTACGGTAGAGATTAGTGATGATTCAGCATCAGCCCGGCTCATATTCTGTTCATGCCTGGCTCACATGATGTAAGGACAGCCCTCCTTTTTACCCCAGTGTGGAGGGCAGCTCCAGCCTCCAGCAATGCCTCACAAACGACTCATGAAAGCTCAGCTGAGACTTCCTTCATTTGGAAAGGAAGGAGGCGGGGAGGAGGACAAAAAGGAAGGCCGAGACAGAAAATCAATACGTCCACAGCATTACCCAGTGTACTCATTTCCTATCCGTGTGGCCGTTTTTAATCAAAGACATAAAAGCAAGGGCACCAGTGAGGAGCAGCCTTTACTTATTTCAGTCAGCTGTCACTAAGGAGACACATTAGAAATGTGATGTTTGTGTTTTTACACAACAGGAAGTAACAAGGTATCACTCATAAGCCACAGAATGGAAAGCGAACTTCCCCTGTTCCTCTTTTAACCATTTTAGTTTTGCTCTTCTCTAGAACACACACACACACACTGTCCAGCATTAGCAGACTAACCACAGATCAATCCAGCGATAAGTGATTTACTGTGTTACATGTCTCATTAACCACACTGGAAGTGTAATAAACTGCTCTGGACTGTGATATAGGAAATGAGCTTAGAGGTGGTAAAAGCAGCTGAAGGAGAAAAGGAATATTTAGATGAAAGAATCCTCACTGAGAATGTGCTTACCAATATAACGGTGAAGTGCTACGGTTGTGGCTATCCGGTTACAGCGAGTTTTTAATGAATGTGGCGATGTGAGACCTGTTGGCTGTGGCCTCAGACAGTCCGTAACTTTAGAGGGGCCTCTGGGGGATACAATGGCATGGAAGGGGCCCCAAGCCCAACTAACCCCTCCTCTCTTAAAAACACACATCATGCACATCTTTCTTTACATCTCCACCCTGATGAGAGATGCTTGATTCATTCCCTGCCTTTTATAAAAGGGGCAGATATTGTAGGATTTTTTTCTTCTTTCTGCTGCCTTGCATTTTATTTTGATATTGTATTTAATGTATGTAAAATTTGTATGTTTTAATAGGAAATTGTTATTTATGTTTATTGTAAATTGAAGAATATTTTCCTTGAATTTGTTTGTTTGTAAAAAAGGGGCAGAGACTATAAGATTCTTTCATCTACTGCTACCTTTCATTTAATTTAATTTGTGATTTGTGTTTTGTTGTGTGTTGAATTTGTGTTGTTTTTAAATGAATAAACTAAGAACAAAAAGCCCATACAGTCAGAGGCAGTTGCATGATACAGAATATGGTTTGAGCAGGTAAAAGTCAGGTGCATGTCAACAACTGTGCAACGAACACATCAGACTAATTGAAAAGCCCTGATGTTCGTCACCTCGTCCTGCCTCAGCTGCTATTCAGAGCTGATCTGAAGACGTTTAAAGGGGCAATATCATGTAAAATCAACTTTATTTTAGTTTTATATAATGTTATACTCTCATAAAAACATGCCCAAAGCCTTGCTTTGACTCATTCATGCATGTTTGAGAA